ACATATGCTGTTTGCTGTTTCATCTGTGGACAATAACCCCGAGATAAACAAGAAGCATTAAGATGCCATCCTAACCGGGTTGCGAAAACATAGTTGCTGATATGTATGGTCGTCTAATGGCTCAAGTAATTTATTTTGTTTTAAGAATATTGACAGTTGTCTTTTCCGTTCGATAACAGGCTGCTCGTTAGTACAGTGTAATTCACTACATTAAATAACTAGGGGCAGCGGCTGACGAAAAATAAAATTACTACACCGTTTGTTCATGGTGACAGTCATTAAAACGTACTTATCACCAGTATACGGATTCAATGCATCAAACGTTACGTTACACATACCTCTTGACAAAATGTTTTCGGTAAAGGACCAGAGATTACAGCGGCTGTAATTTGAAAAGGTAACAGTTATTTGTTAATTTAAGTTTAACATGAAATAAATAATCCTTGGTTACTAAAGTAAAATGAGTCATTATCAGCCTAGTTTCCTTACGTATCCCCGATGGGGATACTTTGTCCTAGATTCTATCGCAAAAGAATTTGTCACCAGAGAAAATGAATGGTGGGAAGCTTTGGAATGCAATAAAATGCCTACAGTTTGCGTATAGCAAATTGTATACAATACATAGCAATCGCACTGTAACACACGTGCCTTCTTTCTAAGCACCAACTGATGAGGAGGAATAAGAACACCAACGGAACACTAAATGACCACAAAACCCGTCAGCATTCTGAGTTCCAGATGCTGCATGTTTTTAACCATAGGTATGGCTCACATTACATAAAATTGCACCGTTTCATGTGCCCGAAGGGTAACCTTGGGCCATCCCACATAAAGAACCAAATTTGGATCGGCTGTTTCATAGCTCCGTGCTGTTCTTGGGTTTCCTGGTATTTTTCCTACTCTTGAAGACAAAGCAAGCGTATAATATCGGCTAAAACAGGCAGTGACCCAGAACGTTGTAGTAAAAAGTCTCGATTAAAAAGCCACTCTAGACTCAACTTCCCAAGTGGAATCGAAGGATATCGCTAACGCTAACAGAGACTTTAGGCCTCTCGCCTAGGTTGAACGCAGTCGACTGAAGTTTGTGTATGTTGAATGGAAAGGAACTCAGACTGAAGAATCTGATAAACTGCCAGTCTGTAGCGGACGCATTACGGACAGCCGTAAGAAAGTGCCAAATTGTCTTGCAACACGTTGCCCTACTTCTTGACTTTGATAAATAAAGCAAGATTGGATTTAGATACGACGGGTGTGGACGGCGCTCCAGAGATTAATCCGGATTACCTAGCACATCACTAGACTGTGGTTGTTAAAGAAATAGCAGAATCAGTGCATCGTTCCATCACTTTTGCAAGTGGCGTGGTGAATGACATTAGAGTTCTGTGCGTTGTCCCGTCACACTTTGTTCGGTGGTAACTCAAACAATACCATCTCAAAGAGTAGTTCAGAACCAGAAACGAATAAGCATTTCGAAGATTTACAATTTTTTGGTAAATAATATGCCACATATTCGCAAGTGGGCCGCCGAACGAATAGCTTAGGAGATTTCTGATGCCATCGCTAGAAACCTAGCCAATTCAACTCTAACGAACAAACGTAGTACCAAGTGGAAACTTGCCAAATTTCTCACTGCTAAAAGAGCTGCTACTCAGCAGGGACTCTAATCGAGCATGCAAAAATTTGTGATCAACACTGCAAATGGGCTCCGTCCAGTGACCCGTTCCATGACCTGCGCAATTGGAATTTTACTACTCAGCATTGCAGCACCACCAATTGAGTATGCTCTCAACTACCCTGAGTTTATTTCTCTTCAGTGACTAACATTGGCGCAAGTATCAATTTTTTTACATTGTACAGTTACATTGCAATTTGATGACGCGATTGCTTCCATTAGAATGCATCTGTAGCCTAGGTTTCGAATGCTATGTGCATGGCTAACAGCCAGTGTGCGAAAAATTTAAAAAAACCAATGCAACTGAAAAACGGATATTGATACACATGATTCCTACGCGGAGGATGCCACCCATCATTATTGATGGTACCCACAGTTAAATTACCTAAGTTTCAATGGATCAGCCGCTTTTCCCAAACCAATCCTAACATGCGGTAACTAGATTTTGTGCTCGAATTTAGACTAACGTGTTATTTGCACGTTACAAAAGCTGTTTACAGTTAAATGAGTTCACCATCAGCAAAATCCCCCACACATCACAATCATAGGTTCACTTGTAAAGTTTCAGATTTTGCCTGCAATATTTGATCAAGACAGCCCAATCCGCTCCTCATTAACATTTGCATTATAGAGGAGTACTGACGTTTTGTCGAATACATTTCGTTCAGCAGCAGCCAGATTAGGGTGACTGATCCCAATGTACTGATTACTCGATGAAAACAGCAAAAGCTATATCTGCGTATCTGCATCTAAAATCGCTCAGACATATTGACCAATCGTAATGGCGATCGTTCCCAAAGCTTCATATCGGCGAATTGCTTGTCAAGATATTTGACTTCGACACCGACTTTGTTCAACTACGTGCGGTGATAAGTTTCCATAAATTTACCACTATCTGTTCGAATCAGGCTTGGTGGACGACGCATTTCAAACGCGTTACTACATGCTTATACCGGTGTCCTCGTGTGCTGTTTGTTGGGCTCAAATGCAGCAGCGGCCTGACCACAACAAATTAGGTGCAACATGAGGAGGTCAACCTGTAATCGACGAATAGACACGGTGTAAAGCCCCAATCTCTTGTACCGGTCTTAGTATGGCATATCTCGTAAAGTAAGGATGAGCTTGATGGCCACGTGTTGTACCTGCTCAGTCCTTTCTATCTCGTCCCAGGTGACAGCACGGTAAGTAGATGAGCCGTACTTTGGCATTAATCAAATGAATAAGAAGAGGCTAGTGGCGATGCCTGCTGCCCAAAGGCTGGAGCTGCGCTTGAGCGCCCAAAGCACATGAAACCCGTTTTGGTAAAGCCTGTTTCTGTCGTCCACGGAGTTTGTCGCATCCCGAGAGTAGAACTTGGCCCCTCACAAAAGGAGTGGTGTGCGATGGTTGACCGGCCACAATGTAGGTTTGACCGTGTCCTCACTTACCCAGGCTCATAAATATAGGCTTAACCGGATTTATCGTGTGGCTGACCACTGCAGATCACACGGAGATGCGGCCGAGGCCACGCTGAAGCAAATCACAGTCAACGGGTGTGCTGATTACTCTCCACGCCTTCAAGTCATCTGCGAAGAACATAAAACGCGAACGTAATAGCTGAGATACATGGTTTATATGGAGTAGGAATAAAGTGGGCCCAAGTAAAGTGCTTTGAGGTACGCCACTGCTCAAAGGATACCAGTCAGCAATATGGTTGTTGATAGGGATTCTGCACTTCTACTTAGTTCTTAATGCATATTTGCTTTCTTCTAGTTTCACATTTGAAGTTACTCAGTTGATAACAGAGATTGTTGGTCCAACTGTTTCACCTGCGATATGTAGTTGAAAGTTGTGCCTTACTATAGCAGGCATGTTGTACATGACTTTTCAGAGTGTTGCCTAACGTTCACTGCTTTCAGCACTCACACTAAGCTTCATGCGTATTTATGAATGCAAGACCTGTTCCTTCGCTTCATTCAGGTTGCAAAACAGTCCTTCTGGAACAAACGTTTATTGGATAAAGTAAACGCAGTGAAAATCAGCATGCTTCGCACACAGAGATACTCCCCGTTCACTTTAATAAACATAGACCTTTATGAAAGGATGATGTTCCTCTTTCAACTCAGTTAAACACACCGTTGGGAACCCACACGAACGTGTTCAGCGACTAAATCCTTTATGTCTATCTCCCATTGGATGTCTAGCCCACTGCTTTGATCCACCCATTCAATCTGATAGGGTAATTAAAACACCCTCCACGCTTCTGGTTGGATTCATCAGTGCCATACTTGGGTGTAAGATGCTCAAACAACTTTCACTAAAATGTCGTACAGTGTTGAGTAAGGTAGATGATGTACAATGCGTCGTTCATCGGCAATATCAACGGACTATCGTTATCAAGTTGGCAAATATTGCCTCACTTGCGGTGTCGAACGGAGTTATAAGATTGGTATCCACATCTTTTTCTGGGAAGCAGCACATTGATGTCCTTCTCACTGCATGTATGCGGAGGCCTATGCTGACGCAACATATGTGATACAGCATTGCTATGAGTTGTTCGCGCCTAAATGGCTGCACATTTATTGCCACATACATATAATGTTTTCAGCTACTGCGAAATTGGATGCATATGATCAAAGGCTGCAAGTGCTTTCAAAGTCACTACCTAGGCTAAAGGTTCAGATAGGTGTGAAAACTTATTTTTTTGCCTATGTATATATGCTTGGCGATGGAAAGAAGATCAAGGAGATTCTAGAGTGCAAATATCCAGGCTAAGTGGTTCTCTCGTATACATTTAGTTCTTAATTAATGCCACCACTGGCAGAACGACCAATTAGTACGTGCCCATTTTAGTGGGTCATATGCCCCTCAAAGTTAATTTGCAAATGCATCCGCTCGGATTAGCGAAGTTGCATAAGGCAAAGTGGCATATGAATCTGTGCTTGACACACCATCTACTACCATGTGTCATGAACCTTACATATGTGGGCCTACTTTGGAAAGGACGTTTTTGGATTAAATTTGCGGATAAAATATTGGAAGATACTTATAAACTCTGTAGAATCTTATGCCTGAGGGGGCTAAGCGTTACATTGCAAATACCCAGCAAGATCTTTTTAGCGATGTGCAATGGAATGATATAAGCGCTACAACTGCAGGTGATGACGTTAAATTTCAGCTTAAATTTCTGCTCAATAGATGGGCTAACCAAAACTTTATTTTGGATCAGATGCGTAACGGCTTATAATGCACCAACTCTATGCGTTCACGTGAAGATTTTATAGGTGTCTGGTATAGTAATAACGGATAAGGTTACGAACCGCATTCGCATGGCATGAATTGAACTTACTGAAATATCCCTTGTGAGAAGCTACAAAAGTGATGTAGGACGCTGAAGTTACCGTATCGGAAATATGCCGCTTTAAAATCGTTATTTTTGAATAAATATGCATTGTACTCCCCGCTACGATATGCACCCACTACTTGCTGTTTGCTAAATGAATAAATGGATATATTTTTAAACGAGCGGAATACCTTTACTTTTGTGGAATGATCGGTTTACGCAGAATTTGTTCTACTATAGTAAAGTGCAACCTGAAGCCGTACAGCTTCTTGAAACTTAACGATTTTGCGGTTCAGTTAAACAAAAAGTATCTCAAATAAATGTTCGCTTGAGAGAAGAGTCCGTAGATACTTTCGCTTCCGTACGCAACACAAAAGCCATTTGCAAGTGACGGGATTCAGAAGATGGAGCTGACAATTGTACAGACAATTCATATTTATCTGCCACTCCGTTTTCCTTGATTTTATTAGCCGTTAAACGTCCACCATATAACACGAGATCAACCGTACAGCTGCTAGATCCTTCTCCAGCAATGTTACATTGCCTGACAACACCATACACAGATTGGTATGAGCAGTCAAAAGGTGATAGCATGTGTGTGCAAACCGTGTGACTGTCTATAGATCTATCAGCGATTTTACAAAGACCGTATAGTTCCCTTAAAATATGTAAAAACCTTAGCTGAAGCGGATCAATTTTCTTGAGCATGTGAACTTTATCTACGCTCGCCTTCAAATTGCGTAATATAAACCGTATACCTAGGATTGCCTAATTGGAGTTTTGCAATCTTTTTGTGTATTAGTTACTGGACACGTTTATCCGCAGGCCAAATTAAGTCGGCCAATTGTTGCTTTTGTGAAAACTTTTGAAACCTACATCGTCTGTCATTCCTCAATAGATTAGCATCATCGTTAACCAATATAAACAAGCCAGCTATACTGTCGCCAAGATATGGAAGCAGCCAATATGAATACGTTAGTATGCACCACATTCTAAGGCTCGTACAGAATGCATTCAGCAAATGAATGTTCAAGCCATCAAAATCATCATATTTAGAGTGAATATTATATACGTCAACGAAGAAATAATTCCTTTCCTCAATATCGATCGCTACAAGTTATCGGATCAGTAATGAAATTATCGTATTAGATGCTCAGTACCTTGCGTCTTAAAGACATTGTCATTATAGCAGAAAAAAATACTGAACTAAATGCATTTCATAGAAAAAGTATTAGTCCCTTTAAATGGTCAACAGGCTGAACTCAGTTTAAGCAGTCCAACAAAGACGGTATCTGCAAGTTAGCGGATAACGGAATCTCAGATGAATGATTGCCATCTCTGAAGCTGTCGTTGAAGTGATACCGTCTGCAATAAACAAGTTTCGCAAGAGGGTTAAGAATGGTGGTGCAAAATCTTCAAAGCGCTTGCAGTTTTGCAAACAACTAGCAACAGCCTCATCAGCTAACCTTTATCAAAGTGGTGATGGGTGATGTCATATCGAATGACGGGACAACCCATGATCTGGCCGTTCAAATACCAATTGATGAACATTTGGGCTTCAATACTGTCCAATGGATCCATCAGCTGACGGTTGAGTGCATCACTGTAATCCAGTTTGAACCTCATAGTGTCCTTATCGTCTTGAGTTTCAAGGGACTCACATTCAAAATTAATATGCGGAGAACGACCACCAAACTAAAAATTGCCGAAAATGAAAAACGGATAAGGCAAGTTCACTCATGTTATTATGCTGTAGCTAGCATGTGTGTAAATCTTTTAATACATTATGTATTGACTGATGGGTGTAAGAAACCCTTCTTACTCAACACCTCAAATAAAATCAACTAGGCCTGCATCCATCTGCTTATATTTGTAATTTTGCCCAAGTTACTATGATTTAAGTGAATGAGTCTTACTACTACAACTATGGTTGCTCATGCGGTAAGCGTGGGTCAGATTTAACACCAAGAACAACAACGACAACAACAAAAACAGAGTTGGTGAAGTGAATATTACCCGTGGGGCTTAGTAAGCCATGTACCAGGTTCTTTATAGTTCCCCAATGAGTTGTCGTAGGAAACCATAGGAAATACGAATAAAATGAAAATAGTAGAAAAGATACTTCAATATTTGTACCCGCTGAATAGATTTAGGAGAATGGTGTGGATTTATCAAAAACCGGCTCACCATGTCACAGCTTGGCGGAGTCTCAGCAGAAACGGGAACATTCACAAAGACAGCTAGTTAAGGAAAAATAACAAATGCGCTTGGCTTTATAAAACTGAATAGTAAGGGCAGAGTGATACTTATTTGTAGGTTGTTTTCAATTGTCGTGATAACGAAAACTGTTGTATTAAATGTGTAAATACAGTAACCAAGAGAGGCAAGTCCTCAACTTGTTTAACATGAACGATCATAGAGAGTGAAAAGCGCCTGCATGTCAATTCGCCATGGTAGGCAAACCTCAAGTTGTGTCGCAAACGGAACTGATTGCTTGGTCGCTGAGTAAACATGCTACCACCTCATTTTCACAGATCACGGATTTCATTGTCAATAAAATATTATACAAATCTGAATTAAGTGAGTTAAACAGGTTAGTAACAAAAGTTACATCACAAGAAAATCGAGTAGCAAGGAAAATATGTTGATTTTGATTAAACCAATGTGGCATGTAATTTTCAAATGCTGGGAAGTGTGCAACTGAAAAATTACATCTAGGAGACGCAGATGAAATCTTTAAGCACGATTATTGCAAAGCCATTAAACTCTCTTTGATGTTTACTTAGTCAGGTTTCACCCTGATTGGCTGCATTTTGCGCATTATTTAACGTCCCTGATTAGTGCTAAGACTTGTATCCCGATTTGGGCATCAATCGATGATTTTTGAAGGATAGGTAAATTGCAAGCTCTTTTTGGTTACTTAGTGAGCCAAAACCAAGAATTGTGAAAACAATGCCTACACCAATAACAAAGGTTTTATAAGATTTGATCTTTCTGCTAATTCACCAGTTCATACCTACATTCTCTATAAAAATTTGAAAAAACTGTAAACCAATATCATCAATATTGACTTTGGGTAAGCTTTTGATTTGATAACTATTAAATCGGCGACTCACTCCAGCTTTTTCTGCTTGGATCCCGCTTGGCACTAATTAACTGTATGCATTTGGAGTACACTGATCCCAGTGTAGACGAAAACTTGAGCAAACTGAGCAATATATCCTTGGTTGGCGGGCGATCACGATTAGGAGAGATTTGCAGTTGTAACAGAAATCGATGACGTTGATTTATGTGGGGAGTTGTACTCTCATCTTGCTCTTGTCGACAACTGACTTGGCTCAAATGCTCATTCGTTGAAAGCATTTCGGCAAGCAACTGGTTGTTTAATGAAAATAAAACCATGGTGAACTGACCGCCAGGTGTTATTCATAAGAGTTTGTGACATGTACATGCCAAGATTTAACGTAATTTGAACAGCATCGATCAACCATCTCTCTATAGGAGGTTTTTAAACAAAAGTAAGATAATTTGCTAATTAAGCAAACAAATTGTGCTACATTTCAGACACAGTATGCATCACGAGCTGTTGGCATCCGGAAGTCACGAGGTCGGAACACGGCAGGGTACCAAGAAACACACACCAGTGACGAAACCCAGTAGGTTGTGACAAAATTCTGCTTCCTTCCCAGACTGGTGGGAACCTGCCTGCATGCGAGAGAACTACGACGAACTACCTATTGAACTGCACCAAAATTCCTACTGCACATCATTAATTAAAAATCATTCCGCATAGTTTCTAGATGCTTTGTCGTACACGGTCGCTTTATGGAAAGTCGTAGGTCTGCGACTAACCACTGGCTTTTGCACATTTCGTAACTGGCATGGAAATAGAGAATGAGCTGAGTTAAATCGTAGTCGATTGTCAGTTATGACGGTCCACCGCCGTCATCCATGGCATAGTGGCAGAAGCTGTTGGCATCCTGAGATCATGGGTTAGAACACTGCACCACTGACGAGACCAAGAAGTTCCAACCAACTCTCTAGTGCTTTACAGACAGATGGCAGCCTGTCAGATTGAGAAACGAATGCGACAAACTACAACTAAAATTAACCTAATTCCCCACTACCCATCAGGAATTAAACTTGGAATCGTCATGGGATATTTCGAAGCAACTCAGCAAGCATGTAGTCGAGTAGGCTATAAATTGTGCTAAATTGCGCCAAATTTCACGTCATCTGGTAAGTTGTATCGCATTAGAACTATTACGGCTGCTTTTAAGTTATTATCCCCTTGACAAATACATCCGTGTTATGGCTTAATGCACAGACTCACAGACGTGTCAGTTAAAAGATAGGCAAGATTTTAATTTAGGCATGGAGTATGCGGTTACCGGGTTCAGCATTACTCTTCTCCAGAAGCATACTCCTTCAGTATGCGAAGTTGAAATCTCTTATCTTGTATGTAATTAGGATTGTAAAATTCCCACAAAGCTTCAATATTAACGGTTTCCGCACAGACCAACAACAGCGGAGCATCTAACTGATTCGACACAAGTATCTATACAGCGATTTCGTGTTAAAGATGTTTGATCAGTAGCGCTTAGACTGCAAACAAGTCATATCCATAAAAACTCACTTCGTCACAGTCTAAAGTTTCTGGACCACTAACGTCTCCTTTGATATGTACTTCTACTGGAAAACTGGAATCTGCAACGAACGATCAACGTCAGCTTTTTCTCAGCTGGTTATCATGTCCAACATAATGCATCAAAATTGCATATCAAAATTGATTATTGTTTCTAATTTATCTTGCGCATGATCGGAACAAATTAGCAGTAATGATTTGTTTACTTCAAAAAAACATGCAGTTAGCGTTGCCATTGAAAATGATGAATCATCGAGTGTTTTGACTTCAAAAGAAAGCACATTGTGTTCAAGACTAGCTGCCGAAATAAAGGTCAGCGAACTTTGTATTACTATCTACTGCCGGTAAAAGTGGTGGCACCGGTAGGGAGATAAATATAGATAGAAGTTGTGTATGCGCTACAAATTGCAACAGTATATTTGCACTTTATATCAACGTAGCGCCTACGAGCTATCCATCCAACCATAGACGGTGTGCTTTTCTATGGAGTTGTTTTAACCTGCGCATTTGAACTGTTAACAACACCGCGATGTAGGCACAGGGTACAAGAATGAACAACTTAATTTTAACATTTGGTTTCAGTAACATACAAAAAGAAACATTTGCATTTGTCGAAAACAGTAAATTCAACTTGGAAAGTTAAGTCCCTCAAACCGCTCAGGAGTTAGATTTGTTCTAAATACTATTGTTGTGAACGTAGACATTAATAGGGTACATTATTTAGACTATATATAAGGTGGACTAATGCAAGCTCATTAATCATTGGGGTCGGTTAAAATCAACAAGATATTTGCGTAACTATTGCTGCCTTACCAAATTTATCCAGTGGCTTACACCAGTTTGAACCCGTTACTGTGCGGCAGGAATCCATTTCCAAATTGAGCTGTTGATTTATGAATGCAACTTTGTCAGCATATTTTGCATCTTCCGGGAAATAGTCTATTTTTGACGAGTTCACTGTAACAGAGTACGGTACGATAAAATTTCCTTCGTCGGTTATGATGGGCTGCCTTGCAAAACACCGTAGGAAAAAGCCTTTATCCCACAATTCTGGTGACCTATCACGAAGCTGTAATCAAATATGAGAGGTGATTATGATTATGATTATACTGAACATGCACGCTCAAACGTGAAATAAGTCGTGTGGAAACCTACCAGCTGACATGCTTGGGTTACTTCCTCCGGTGGCGTTGGTAAAAGAAGACGAACGCCGACAGCTAAAATCGAAGGGGAAAAGCATTTTGGCGCCGCATGCAAAAATCAACATTGACTTCATGAAGGAAAAGCGCATAACTTTCCTGTAGATGGCAACTTCAAGTTGTTCTACTATATGAGGATGGAAAATTAAGGCTTAGGAAATAGACGTGTGCCGTATTTGCGCTATGACAATCAACCACCAATGATTATCTCAAATATGTCACCACTGTTAGCACACTGAGTACCAGTTTGCTATTAAATACTCGTTAACATAACAATGTGTGTTTTAAACATATTGAAGAGCAGCCTGTGGCATCTGCGCAGTGTGGCTGTCCAACGCAAATCTGGTCATCGATTAACTCAGTTCCTATTGGCTGGATCCACCAGCGTCAATGTGGGTCCGTTAACGCCAAGCTTACCATTTGTTGGCCTGGCTGAACTTATGCGCAGCGTTGTGTTTATAGCTTGTTCTACTGTCGTGGAGTACAGGCCGCATAGTACGTTCTACTGAGAGTCGTGCTTCAGTACTGTCCGAGTGGTATCACTAGCGACAGGGAGCAAATTTGGATACCTTTGCAATGAGCCCGCTTAATCCAGCTGAATCCCTTCGGCAGGAATCGTCTTGTAAGCCAACTTTAGCACTTTGGACTCGCTGGAAAATAAGCTACCGTGATTTTCCTGAACTATTCTCAATTACAAATCGTCAAATTAACCTTACTGCAGCCCAATATCTCAAAGTCTTGAAACAGCATCTTGGCACAGAAGGTCAAACGCACTTTGATACACTGCGTTTGCACGAAAACATATCTTTATCCGACAGTCTTAACGCACTTGATTGCCTTTGGGGGCCGTGGCAACATGTCTTTACGGCACTTCTGTATTTTTCCAAATAACGAGAGGGGAGGAAGATGGTTTTAATGAATTACTTAGCCGTATAGAACAATCCCTTCCAGAATACAGTTCAAACTGAAATGCCACCCACGAATTTTGAACAGACAATCGCTAGGCCGTGTCTGTTAGTTGGTGTCCGGGACGATAAAGCCAGGGAACAGCTGTTTTCGAATGAGGAAAACAAACTTAATCGGGAGACAGCATGTGCGCTAGTCAGACTACACGGGGACTTGGTGCAACAAGTTGTAACTTGCTTGGAAGTTGATATCGGTCCCTGATCTGGCTTGATAACAAGCCGGCACGGCTAAGCAACGTCACGGTAGATCGCATTCTTGATTTCAACCAGGATAGGTCTCTTAGGGCAACTTTGTACAATGCAATCGGCTTTGTCTAACTGCCTACACAATGGATGCGCCTGATAATATCATACGACGGTATCCTGACATTATGGGGAATACGTTGCATCCACCTTCTATCCAAATCTATCCGACCTTTCACTTTCCGTATGAATGGTTCCAATTTATTGTATATAAGGACATTCCGTTGCCTGCCTAGCGCAATTTCTGTATTACAAATGCAACGACCACATAATAAATAAACCTCAGCAATTCCCGCTCGCAATTAGTTATTGAGTAAAGTCTGTTCCCGGATTAATTTTCGCAGCACCAAGCCTCTGCGTGCAGTTCACTAATGAGCGCTGATGCGGATCCAACTGTCGTTCACGAACCACGCAGAAGTTGGTATCAGCTACGCAAAAGCAATGGAAGCACATCCACTTCAGGGTACATTGGTGAGTAAAAATATCAATCGCAAATTGATCTAGTCTTGAACTATTATTATGATACCATACTAAAAATAAGTCACACTGAACTCCTTTCATTGCTACTGTGCCGCAGTTATACTCCCCACATTTGTAGTCCAAGTGAGGAGCCATGTGTAAAATGCAAAACTGCGTAAATAAACTAAGAACAAAAATGCAAATGCTGTGGGTACTATACCACAACAGTAAAAACGACGGACAGTGCGTTGAGAAAACCATAGCTACAGCAAACCGGAAGAAAAATATTGTGAACGAATTCACAGGGATATGAGCAGATCAGTAGATGCCCAACCCACCAACAGATAAAGGACAGTGATAATATCCAATAGACACCATTACTTTGGTACGGGATGCGAAATCCGTAGGCCAAAGGTTCACGAGGTTTCGTTTAATGTAACTCCGTCTTCATAACCGCGATACAATAACCGTTGAAACAGAGCAATTTTTCAGACTCTGTCCATTTGAAATACACTTCCAAACATAGTTTGAAGACAAAAAAAGACAGATAAGAGCTTGTTCATAATTACAAACCGCGCGAAAGTTTATCCCAGTGATAGACTGAATAGTGGGAGCCGCAACTGCTATCATATTTACTGGATGCCTCGAGATTAGTCTTGAAACTGGATGTCTACTCTAAGGATTCAAAGCGATTATACCTCCCTGATTGCATGCAGAGGTTCTACAAGAGCTGCATAAAACTCATCCAGAAAGAACAAGGATGAAAGGACTTGCGCGATCCTATGTGAAGTGGCCCAATATTGGCCGAGACATTGAAGAGTTAATCCGACACTGTGACGATTGTCAAAGCCTACAAAGCAGGGCACCTCTTTTACTACTAGCCCGTGGAAATGGCCCAGTAAACCATAGAAGCTTTTACACGTTAACTTTTCGGCCTATTCAAAGAGATGTTTTTTCTCCTAATTGGCGGCTACTCGACAAGGCTCGAAGTTTTCCTGCTAAGCTGAGCCACCTCAGTGAATACAGTTTCATCCATGCGAACATACTTTACATCCTTTGGTATTCCACACACGTTGGTGACAGACAATGGATCAGTGTTTACTAGTCAGAAAATTTAGGTGTTTCTTAAAAATTAACGGCATACGTCATATGAAGTCGACCCATTATCACCCAGCTACTAATGAATTAGCTGAAAGGGGCAATCCCAAAGTCAAGAACAGGCTTTGAAAACAAGTGCCAACTCCAATCCCGACAGGGTTAGAAAATTCCTTTTTGGTTATCGCGCCACACTGAAGGAAACGCCTGGTAAGTGTCCCGGTGAACAAATGTTCGGAAGGATGTTAAGGACAAGGTTAGATTTGCTGTTTCCTGATCAGATGCTACATGTCGAGGCCGAACAAGCTAAGTCTAAGGCCGAGTACTAGCGGAGGACAGTCAATCGGAAACTCTGTGCGAACGAAGCGGTTTATATCAAGTTGCTTAGCGTAGCAGAATGGCAGCCTGGAGATCTGCGCGAAGTTGCAGGGCAAAATACGGAAGTGAGTTTACCAGACGGCAAGGTGGTCATTCGTCACAAGGACCATGTCTGTCCTCGCTATTTCTCAGTTCCGCTAGCTGATACATCGGCAAGCCCAATCACTGAGTTTGAAGACGTGCAGAATACCTATCAATCGGAGACTCCGTAATTTCACCGCTCAGGCCGAGTGTGCCGACCACTTGATCGTCGGCAGGCCAACTGAGGTGATTCCAACTAAAGGGAGGAGAAATGTGGCCGCTGCTTTGTGTGTCTGTCCAAAGCAAAGCTAGTCTTCGATTAACTCTGTTCCTATTGTCTGGATCCACCAGCGTCAGTGTGTCCGTTAACGCCAGACTAACCATTGATTAACCTGTCTAAACTTATGCGAATTGTTGTGTATATGGCGAGACAGTATACATTCTGTGTACCGCTGAAGGTGGAATGTTTACAGTCGTAGGCTACCGGTCGAATACTGCGTTCTACTGATAGTCGTGATGCAGTAGGGGCTGAGTTGTAACACAGACAAACAGGAAAATTTCATCAGTTAGATTGTACTTGCCTACGAGTATACATGTGCGTGATACCCAGCTTTCTTACTAAACAAAGCGTTTCGTTCTCGGTGTCAAAACGAAAGGCGACTGCGTTATTTAGAGAACAGCCGCGCTAAGCATGCTGCGCATACTGGTCTCTAGCTTATATGTTCATAAATAAAAAAGACTGAGTAACTGATATTTTATAAGTTTGAGCACGTGGTCAAGCTGACAGCAGTGATGGTGTCCGTAACTTATCCGATATGTAAATTTCAGCTGAGTAAATCACGGATTTTTATTTCGCCAAATCATTAGACTGCATTGATGTGATGGTTTAGAGCGCAATAGAAGTTCTGTTCTGAGCATTTGAGCCAAGTCAGTTGTCGACAAGAGCAAGATGAGACTACAACTCCTCACGTCAATCAACGTCATCGATTTCTGTTACAAATGCAAATTTCTCCTAATCGGGATCACCCGCCAACCAAGGATATATGGCTTAGTTTGCTCAAGTTTTCGTCTAAACTGGGATCAGTGGACTCCAAATGCGTACAGTTAATTAGTGTCAATCGGGATCCAACTAGAAACACTTGGAGTGAGTCGCCGATTTAATAGTTATCAAATCAAAATCTTAACCAAAGTTAATATTGATGATATTGGCTTACACTTTGTCAAATGTCTACAGAGAATGTAGGTATGAACTGGTGAATTAGCAGGAAGATCAAATCTTTTAAAACCTTTTTATTGGTGTAGGCGTTGTTTGTACTGTTCTTGGTTTTGGCGCACTAAGTAACCAAAAAGAGCTCACAATTTACCTATCCTTCAAAAATCATCCATTGCTACCCAAATCGGTATACAAGTTTTAGCACTATTCAGAGACGTTAAATAATGCGCAAAATGCAGCCAATCAGGGTGAAACCTGACTAAGTAAACATCAAAGAGAGTTTAATTGCTTTGCAATAATCGTGCTTAAAGATTTCAGCTGCGTATCTTAGATGTACTTTTCCAGTTATGCACACTTCCCAGCATTTGAAAATTCCATGTCACATTGGTTTAATCGAAATCAACATATTTTCCTTGCTACTCGATTTCCTTGCAATGTAACTTTTGTCACTAACCTGCTTAACTCACTGAGTTCAAATTTGTAGCATATTTTAATGACATTGAAATCCGTGCTGCGTGAAAATGAAGTGGTATCATGTTTATTCAGCGACCTATCAATCTGTTCCCTTTGCGACACAACTTGGGGTTTGCCTACGATGGCGAATTGACATGCAGGCGCTTTTCATTCGCTATGATCGTTCATATTAAACAACTTGAGGACTTGCCTCTCTTGGTTACTGTATTTGCACATTTAATACAACAGTTTTCGTTATCACGACAATTGAAAACAACCTACAAATAAGTATCGCTCTGCCCTTACTATTCAGTTTTATAAAGCCAAGCGCATTTGTTACTTTTCCTTAACTAGCTGTCTTTGTGAATGTTCCCGTTTCTGCTGAGACTCCGCCACGCTGTGACATGGTGAGCCGGTTTTTGATAAAACCACACCATTCTCCTAAATGTATTCAGCGGGTGCAAATATTGAATTATCTTTTCTACTATTTTCATTTTATTCGTATTTCCTATGGTTTCCTACGACAAATCATTAGGGAACTATAATGAACTTGGTACATGGCTTACTAAGCCCCACGGGTAATATTCACTTCACCAACTCTATTGTTGTCATTGTTGTCGTTATTGTTCTTGTTGTTAGATCTGACCCATGCTTACCGCATGAGCAACCATCGTTGTAATAATAAGACTCATTCAATTAAATCATATTAACTTGGGCAAAATTGCAAATATAAGCAGATGGATACAGGCCTAGTTGATTTCGCTTGAGGTGTTGTGAGTAAGAAGGGTTTCTTAGCCCCATCAGTCAATATATAATATGTATTAAAAGGTTTACACACCTGCTAGCTACCGGATAATAACACGAGTGAACTTGCCTTATCCGTTTTTCATTTTCGGCAATTTTTAGTTTGGTGGTCGTTCTCCGCATATTAATTTTGAATGTGAGTCCCTTGAAACTCAAGACGATGAGGACAATATGAGGTTCAAATTGGATTACAGTGATGCTCTCAACCGTCAGCTGATGGATCCATTAGACAGTACTGAAGCCCAAATGTTCATCAATTGGTATTTGAACGGGCAGATCATGGGTTGTCCCGTCATTCGATATGACATCACCCATCACCACTTTGATAAAGGTTAGCTGATGAGACTGTTGCTAGTTGTTTACAAAACTGCAAGCGTTTGAAGATTTTGCACCACCATTCTTAACCCTCGTGCGAAACTTGTTTAATGCAGACGGTATCACTTCAACGACAGCCTCAGAGATGGCAATCATTCATCTGAGATTCCGTTGTCCGTCAACTTGCAGATACCGTTTTTGTTGGACTGCTTAAACTGAGTTCAGCCTGTTGACCAGTTAAAGGGACTAATACTTTTTCTATGTACTGTATTTAGTTAAGCATTTTGCTTTCTTCTATAATGACAACGTCTTTGAGATGCAAGGTACTAAGCATCTAATAGGATAATTTCATTACTGATCCTAAAACTTGTAGCGGTCGATTTTAAGGAAAGGAATTATTTCTTCATTGATATATATAAGATTCACTCTAAATATGATGATTTTGATGGCCTGAACATTCATATGCTGAAAGCATACTGTAAAAGCCTTAGAATGTGGTGCGTACTAACGTATTCATGTTAGCTGCTTCCATGTCTTGACGACAGTATAGCTGACGTGGTTATATTGGTTAACGAAGATGCTAATCTATTGAAGAATGATAGGGGATATAGGTAGTTTCAAAAATTTTCATAAAAGCAACAATTGGCCGACTTAATTTGACTTGCGGATAAACGTGTCCATCAACTAATACATAAGAAGATTGCCAAACTCCAATTAGGCAATCCTAGATATACGGTTTAGATTACGCAATATGAAGGCGAGCGCAGATAAATTTCACTGAGGTTGGTCGTTGTTACGCTAACTACATGCTCAAGAAAATTGATCCGCTTCAGCTAAGGTTCTTGCATATTTTAAGGGAACTATACGGTCTTTGTAAAGTCGCTGACAGATCTACAGGGAGTCACACTGGTTTGCTCACACATGCTATCACCTTTTGACTGCTCATACCAATCTGTGTATGGTGTTGTCAGGCAATGCAACATTGCTGGAGAAGGATCTAGCAGCTGTGGGGTTGATCTCGTGTTATATTGTAAATGTTTAACGGCTACTAAAATCAAGGAAAACGGAGTGGCAGAGAAATATGAATTGTCTCTACAGTTGTCAGCTCCATCTTCTGAATCCCGTCACTTGCAAATGGGTTTTGTGTTGCGTACGGAATCGAAAGTATCTACTGACTCTTCTGTCAAGTGAACGTTTATTTGAGATACATTTTGTTTACCTGAACCGCAAAATCGGTAAGTTTCAAGAAGCTGTACGGCTTCAGGTTGCACTTCACTATAGTAGAACAAATTCTGCGTAAACCGATCATTCTACAAAAGTAAATGTATTCCGCTCGTGTAAAAATATATCTATTTATTTAGTTAGCAAACGGCAAGTAGTGGGTGCATATCGCAGCGAGGAGTACAATACATACTTATTCAAAAATAACGATTTTAAAGCGACATATTTCCAATACGGTAACTTCAGCGTCCTACATCACTTTTGTAGCTTCTCACAAGGGATATTTCAGTAAGTTCAATTCATGCCATGTGAATGCGGTTCGTAACCTTATCCGTTATTACTATACCTGAAACCCATAAAATCTTCACGTAAACGCATGGAGTTGGTACATTATAAGCCGTTACGCATCTGGTCCAAAATAAAGTTTTGGTTAGCTCAACTACTGATCAGAAATTTAAGCTGAACTTAAAAGTCATCACCTGCAGTTGTAGCGCTCATGTCATCCCATTGCACATGGCTGAAAAGATCTTGCTGGGTATTTGCTGCGTAACGCTTAGCCCCCCTCAGGCATCAGACTTTACAGAGTTTATAAGTATCTTCCAATATTCCATCCCCAAATTCCATACAAAAATTGACCTTTCCAACCTAGATTCGTGACACATGGTAGTAGATGGTGCGTCAAGCACAAATTCGTATGCCACTTTGCCTTATGCAATATCGCTAATCCGAGCGGATGCATCTGCACATTAAATTTAAGGGGCATATGGCCCACTAAAATGGGCACGTACTAATTGGTCGTTCTGCCAGTGGTGGCATTAATTAAGAACCAAAAGTATACGAGAGAACCACTTAGTCTGGGTATTTGCACCTTGGAATCTCCTTGATCTTCTTTCCATCGCCAATCATATATACATAGGCAAAAATAAGTTTTCACACCTATCTGAACCCTTAGCCTAGGTAGTGATTTTGAACGCATTTGCAGCCTTTGATTATATGCGTTCATTGTCGCAGTAGCTGGAAACACTATCTGTATGTGGCAATAAATGTGCAGCCATTTAGGCGCGAACAACTCACAGCAATGCTGCACCACATATGTTGCGTCAGCATAGGCCTCCGCATACATGCAATGAGATATCAATGTGCTGGTTCACAGCAAAAGATGTGGATACCAATCTTATAACTCCATTAGACACCGAGAGTGAGGTAATATTTGCCAAATTGATAAGGATAGTCCGTTGATATTACCGATGAACAACTCATTGTACATCATCCACCTTACACAACACTGTACGACATTTTAGTGAAAGTTGTTTGAACATCTTGCACCCAAGTATGACATTGATGAATCCAACCGGAGGCGTGGATGGTGTCTTAATTGTCCTATCAGATTGAATTGGTGGATCAAGGCAATGGGCTAGACATCCAATGGGAGATAGATATAATGGATTTGGTCGCTGAACACGGAGTGGCTAACGTTGGTGTGGGTTCCTAACGGTTTGTTTAACTGAGTCGAAAGATGAACATCATCCTTTCATAAAGGTCTATGTTTGTTAAAGGGAACGGGGAGTACCTCTATGTGCGAAACATGCTGATTTTCACTGCGTTTACTTTATCGAATAAACGTTTGTTCCAGAAGGACTGTTTTGCAATCTGAATGAAGCGAAGGAACAGGCCTTGCATTCATAAATACTCATGTAGCTTAGTGTGAGTGATGAAAGCAGTGAAGGTTGGGCAACACTCTGAAAAGTCATGTACGACATGCCTGCCATAGGAAGGGACAACTTTCATCTGCATGTCGCTGGTGAGATGGTTGGATCAACAATCTCTATTATCAACTGAGCTACTTCATACGTGAAACTAGAAGAAAGCAAATATACATTAGGAATCAAGTAAAAGTGCCGGATCCTTATGAACAACCATATTGCTGACTGGTATCCTTTGAGCAGTGGCGTGTCTCAAAGCACTGTATTTGGGCCCACTTTTTTTCTAATCCATATAAACCATGTATCTCAGCTAGTACGTTCGCGTTGTACATTCTTCGCAGATGACTTGAAGGCGTGGTGAGTAAGTAACGTACCCGATGACTTTAACTTGCTTCAACTTAGACTTAACCAAATCTCTGTGTGGTTTGCGGAGGTCAACCTCCAGCTAAATCCGGTAAAGTCTATATTTATAAGCTTGGGTAAGTGAGGACACGAGCAAAACTACATTGTGGCCGGTCAACCATCAGACATCACGCCTTTTGGGAGAGGTCAAGTTCTACTCTCGGGATGCGACTTAAACTCCGTGTGCGACAGGAACAAGCTTTACCAAAACGGGTTTCGTGTGCTTTGGGCGCTCAAGCGCAGCTCCAGCCTTTGGGCAGCAGGAATTGCCACTAGACTCTTCTTATTTATATGATCAGTGCTAGAGTACGGTTTACTAGTTACCGTGCTGTCACCTGGGGCGAGATAGAAAGGACTGAGCAGGTAGAACATGTGACCATCAAGCTCATTCTTACTTTACGATGTATGCCATACTAAGACTGGTACAAGAGATTGGGGCTTTACACCGTGTCTATTCGTCGAGTACAGGTTGACCTCATCATGTTGCACCGCATTTGTCTTGGTTAGGCCGCTGCTGCATATGAGCCCAACAAGCAGCACACGAGAACACGGTATAAACATGTAGTACCGCGTAAGAAACACGTTGCCACCAAGCCTGAATCGAACAGATAGTGGAAAATTTATAAAAAAAACTTTTCACCGCACGTAGTTGAACGGAGTCAGTGTCGGAACTGAAATATCTCTTGACAAACAGTTTGCCGATTTGAAGCATTAGGAATGATTGCCATTACTATTGGTCAATGTGTCTGAGCGATTTTAGAAGCAGCTACGCAGCTATAGCTTTTCGCTGTTTTCTTCGAGTAATCAGTACATTGGCGTTAGTCGCCCTAATCTGGCTGCTGCTAAAGGAAATGTACTCGATAAAGCGTCGGTACTCTTCTATAATGCATATGTTAATTTAGAGCGGATTAGGATGTCTTGATCAAATATTTCAGGCAAAACCTGAGACTTTACAAGTTAACCTATGATTGTGATGTTTGGGGGATTTTGCTGATGGTGAACTCATTTAACTGTAAACTGCCCTTGTAAAGTGCAAATAACACCTAAGTCTAAATTCGAGCACAAATTCTAGTTACCGCATGTTAGGATTGGCTTGGGAAAAGCGGTTGGTCCATTGAAAACTAGGTAATTTAACTGTGGGTGCCATTAATAATGATGGTTGACATACTACGCGTAGGAATCATGGGTTTCAATATCCGTTACTCAGTTTGATTGGTTTAGTTTAAATCTTTCTCATACTGACTGTTAGGCATGCATATAGCATCCGAAACCCAGGATAAAGATGCACTCAATTGGAAGCAATCGCATGTCATCAAATTGCAATGCAGCTGTACAATGTAAAACAATGATACTTACGCCAATGTTAGCCAGTGAAGAGAAATAATCTCAGGGTAGTTGAGAGCATATTCAAATAGTGGTGCTGAAATGGTGAGTAGCAAAATTCCAATTAAGCAGGTCATGGAACGGGTCACTGGACAGAGCACCTATGTAGTGTTGATCACAAATTCTTGCACGTTCGATTAGAGTCCTGCTAAGTAGCAGCTCTTTTAGCAGTGAAAAATTTTGCAAGTTTCTACTTGGTACTACGTTTGTTCGCTGGAGTTGCATTGGCTAGGTTCCTAGCGATGACATCAGAAATCTCCTAAGCTATTCGTTCGGCTGCCCACTTGCGACTGTGTGGCATATTATT